ATTTAACCTTAAAACTGTGAAATTAAAAGTTACTCTAGATTAAACTTAAACTTTATTTATATAGATATTTCTTGACTTATATTTTAATAAACCATTGCAAGACAACATATCATAAATCAAAAATCATTTAGTATGTCATCTACTGAATATTATTGCTTAGTCTAGTGTCTTAAATGTGCTCAGAACACTTTCATTTGCCTACAATTGAGGAAAATGTACTGATACAAAGTCTATTTTATAATAAATTGTTGAATTTCTCATGATTTAATGAATAATTGTGTCAAAAAAAGAGAAGAAACAACTGGTGACAGTAAAGCCAGACATTCACATTCACAGATCCAATTTAAAAATGCATCAAAGTGCATCATACTATAAACATGTTCAGCCCTTTTATGTCACTATTCTCTAAACAACACAGTATAACCATTTACATAGCATTTACATTGTGTTAAGTATTATAAGTAATCTAGCGATGATTTATACAGTTATGTACAGGAGGTTGTGCATAAGACATATGCAAGTACCATGCCATGTTATATAAGGGATGTGAACATTCATGGATTTTGGAATCCTGGAAAATGAGGTGGAGTTGGAGCTTCCTAGATCCAATCCCCCAAGCATACCCAGGACCAAAGGTACATGTAGCTTATCCCTTGTTTACCTCTGAGTCACATGGCTGGTAGAAAGCAGCTCCCATATCCAGTATTACTAGAGAAGATCATAACACATATCACCAACCAAGAAAAAAATTAAAGTTCAAAATATAAAGTATAGTTTCTACTGAATATATATTCCTTTCATACCATCATTGGAAATTCATAATTCAAACCACTGTAAGTCACTTGTACACCAACTTGCAATGTCTCTCAAGTGCCTGAGCTTCTAAAAACATCTCTGTAGAAAGCCTCATATTACAGAGATTTCTTATTAAACTTCTTTTGAATTTTACTTTAAGTTCTAGCCAGAAATGAAATAAAGAAATACTGATTTACACTTTTCTGTTTCCAAAAATCCCATTTTTTTTACTACTTTCTTGTATTGGAAACTTAGCACACTAATGTTCCACCTTTTTTTTTCTTTCTCTGTTATAATAATTTAAAAGTATAAATTTCTCACAAGTAGCAATTTAGCTACACATCCTAAATTCACCATATTGTATTTTTATCAGAGTTTAATCCAAGTAATTCCCAATTATATTGTAATGTCTTCTTTAACCCACATATGATTTAAAGGCATTTTTACATTTTTATTTTATTTTTCTTTGAAGTACATGTATGTTGGTGGAAAGCAGTACATTGTCTTACTACAAATTTCTTAGCTATTAATTGCATCACTTTCAAAGAAAATTGTCTTTGAACTAATTTGTTTTGTAACTTAAATCCTACTCAATATTTTTTATCATTCTTTACTGACTTGAAGGATTTTCTGGCCATTATGAAAACCCACCTATTCAATAAGGACACTAATTTCTTAATTCACTATCATTTCGTATTTTCTGTGTGGTACTACCAGATTAAATTTTTCTTATCCTTTAAATGCATTATTTTGCTGAAAGTGTATTTATTAGTACCTAATTAAATTTGTTCAGAAGTATGTTTATATTACCCTTACATTTTAATAAAAACTTCTAAGTACAGTATATAATTCTAAATTGGCAGTTATTTTGTCTAATAATTTAGAAGCTATCTTTACAATGTTTTCTAATTATTTTTTCTTTGAAGATAATTTGTCTTTTTCTCTTTGCTACATTTAAAATATGTTCCTCTATTGCTCCACAGTTTTAATTCATAGATATGTGGCAGTGGATTTATTTCTTTGTTTCTTTCCCTGTACTTGAGATTTCTAATTCTGAGGATTTATAACTTCCATAAGTTATGAAAATATTCTGGACATTATTTCATTGAAATTTGCCTGTTCTCTATTTTCCATGTTTTCTTCTAGAAGGCATATGAAATAATGAAGAAAGGGAGGGAGAGACTGAGTTTGACATCAGAGAACCAGTTTGACATAAAACAACAAATCCCCTGGCTTCCAAGCTCAGAAATTCCCCAGGCTATTTTGGCTTCAGTTTGCCCTCTTTGGATTCTGTTTTGCATTCACCGTTGCTCAGGGTTACATCTAGCATGCAGTTGCTTTACTTTGGGCCAATGGGAATTTTTCACATTTCCTTGCAAGTTCAGCTATGCATATTAAAATAATATTTTTTATGTTATACAGAAGGCTTCCAGGTGGAAATATCTCCTGATTATCTAGTTCATAATATTTCAGGAAATGAAAATCAAAACTAAATCTTGAGAAAAATAAAGCTTTAATTGTATTAATGGTTGAACCACTTAAGTCATGGTACTTGACATTTTTAGGAAATACGCTACTAGGGTTGGATCAAAAAACAACCACCTAGTTGGCATAATAGGAAACAGTTGTCAATTATTCCAAGACCATCTCTGTAGATCTCATTAACATTTACTTTAACATTTCAAACTCCCTTAAAACTTTTAGAATGAGTGGTTTAAAGCAGTTTTTATTATTCACTTTTATTGGTTGCTTTCATATTTCTCATTTTTCTCTCTTGTGAAAAATGGGAACAAAAGGAACATAAATATGTTTGCCAAGTGAGAAAAGTGAAGGTAAGGTGAGTTAACCTTGATTCTTTTCAAATGGGCATTCTAGAAGTAGGTACTCCTCCAGATCCGTTATATTTAATTCTAAATTAGACCACTTTTGTTAAAATGGTTTTATAGAGAGTATGCTTTTAGTATGACCTGGTAGTTTTGAGACCTAGCCTCAAAGCTGACCTTCCTTTTATATATTTGTGTACTTTGTGTTTTTTTCTCATTTTTATCCTTGAGTAACACAGTTATTATACCAACTATCGCCCACAGCTGGTTTCTGGCAGTCCCAAGGTTCCTGGTTTTGCTTTCCCATCAAGTAAATAATAAACACTACTAGAGGAGAACAGCACACAGGATATTCTCTCTCTCTCTCTCTCTCTCTCTCTCTCTCTCTCTCTCTCTCTCGATTCTTCACAGAGCAGGTGCACATGATAGCCAAATACAAAGGTAGATAAAAGACCTGTTTGCCTCAGCAGCAGTTCTATCAGGTTTCCCTAGGACCTCTAAATGATAGGAAACAAAAGCAATACACGTTTACAAAATCCTCCAAATCCACAGTGTTTAATTACAGTCCCTGCTCACAGATCATCTTGTGGAAGAAAGGGATAGAGTGGGAAGAAACCCAAATCCCTATTAATCGGTTGCAAGGCAAGAAAAAGCCAGGGGGGAGGAAGGGCAGGAAGTCAGTAATACATTACTATTGTAGGGATTGCTATTGTAATTTACCCTCATGTGTAGAATTTCTGTCCTATGCTGACATTCAATTACTCAGCAAATGACTTTTGTCAAGCACTGTCCCAGGCATTTTGTATACAGCAGTAACAACACAGATGAAAGTCTGTATCCTCTCGGAGTTTACATTCTAGTTATGAGGAAGAGATAAATAAATGCAGAGCACACAGGTAAATAAATAGAATTCAGAAATTGTAGTGTCTAAGGAATGACAAGAGGGCACCAGGACAAGAGTGGGGTGAGGGTAGGACCTCTGTACAGAAGTGGTTTTTAACGTTCCGCAAAAGGACATTCTTACCATCATATTTCAAGCCTTTTTGTTATTAGTTGGGAGCTACATGTTGAGAAGTTGAATCTAAGAAACTTATTTAAAGCTTGTATTATAATTTACTTTTCTTTTTTATGAGCACATGTTTATAGTACACAACAGCTACATCCTTCATGGGAGTTTCTTCCATATTTTGTCCTTTTCCCTTTTAAAAAGATCTCCCTATGTCTTATATCTATCCTTTACTGTACTCTTTATTTATATTTTAGGTTTTCCATAAAGAGAAACCATGTGACATTTAAGCTTGTGTGTCTGATTTAATTCATTTAATATTATGGTTTCAAGGCGTGTCCATTTTTCTACAAATGACTCAAATTTATCTTTATGGTAGAGTAATACTCCATTGTGTGTATACATCACTTTTTCTTTACCCATTCATCTGTTGGTGGCCATTTAGTCCACTTCCAAGATTTAGCTTTCATGAATTGTGCTGCTATAAACATTAGAGAGCATTAAACTGTTTTTCACAACTGTCAAATAAAATTGAGATTAGAAGGCCTATAGGAATAGAGAGCAGGAAGCTTCTGGGTGATACTGAAGCCATGATAAACAATTTGAATCTTCCCTGAGTGAAACGAGGAGCCATTGGCAGAATTTTATGGCAGAGATGAGTAGTTGGCACAGAATTGCAAGCAGAAAATGGCAAAAGCTGGAAATGACTGGAATTAAAAGAAGGCTTTTTCGGGGAGAAATTAAAGCATATTTTTCTCTTAATGAGAAGAAATCAGTAGAGGAAATTATCTAGGAAAATAGATGAATTGAATATATGAAAAGGAGGGAGAAATGGTAGTGGCACTTCAAGTAGGAGAGAGGGGAAGAGATGAAGGGTGACTAGGAGGGGACTGGTCCCAGACGAGACCCTGAACAGTTCAGACATGGGAACAGGTGGAGAAGCAGGCACCACAAATGCATAGGAAGTGGGTAGGAGCTTGGAGAAGCTATCTTCTAGTGACTTCATCTACCCTTTGGAATGGGGTCCGAGATCAGCTGAGCAGGACTTGGAAAAATGGTGGCAGCCTCCCAAGGAGCCATGGGAAACAACATGGCCACAAGCAAGGTTCACACCCCAGCCCTGCCGTGTCGGCCATGTGACCCTGGGTCAGTTCTTCTGTCTTCCTGAGCTCATTTCCTCATGTAAAATGGGGGAAATAACATTGCCAATCTCACTGCTTGTGGTGAGGATGAACAGAGAGACTGTAAAAGCAATTTCTACCACTGCTATTATGGCAGGTACTTAGTATATGTGTGCTCTTAGCTGATGTCCTATGTCAGGCACTTAGTTACATATTAATGGGTAGACTGATATGTTATCTCCACTCTCTTTTCAGGAGGTTTGTCCTCACCAAGCTTCGAATCATCCCAAAAGGAGCATTTGCAGGATTTGGGGACTTGGAGAAAATGTATGTACCTGATACTGATGCTTGTGAATGCCTCAAAAGGCTATAGGGAAAACATCACATCTAGAATGAGATATGTACAGTTGGCCACCACAGCCACAGGCAGATTTAACCAACTATGGACTGAAAGTATTTGGAAGAAATTTTGTGTACTGAGCATGTATAGAAGTTTCCTTGTCATTACTCCTTTAAAAAATTACTTAAAATGTATAACAATTATTTCCATAGATTTACAATGTATTTAGTCATTACAAGAAATCTACAAATGATTCATATGAGAGGATATAGGAGGATGTGTATACATTATATGCAAACACTTCAACATTTTATGTAAGGACTTGAACACCTACAGATTTCGGTATCTGAGTAGGATTTATGGGGACAACTGCACTTGGAACTCAAATTGTTATGCCAAGCAAACCTTTTGCACTTCCTCCCTTTTTACTCTTTACCATACTTCCTAAACAATAGTGGGTAATCATTCTGAGTCTGGCCATTGAAATTAGCAAAAGTTTAAGACAAGCTGTCCTCACTCATGCATTGTTTAAAGAATTGCTCCCAAAGTCCCTGGAGTGGAACTTTCAGAAACTAAAGCCTATTACATTCTTTTGCTTTCAGAAATATTTTACACTATTTCTGATTAAATTTTAATCAACAGCAGGACATAGCATTTGTGTTTAGAGAAGCCCTGAACTTCTTCCCAAGCCAAGCATACACAAAAGTGGTCACTGGCACACCACAGACATTTAAAAGGATCAGGAGAGTTTACAGCGCTGATTGATTCCTTTTGAAAAGAGAAAAGTCTTTTATCAATGCAACTTTTTATGGGGCTGGTTTAATTTGGGGTTTGCCTAAATACTATTTTTCTTGAAGTGGAGTACAGTAGTAAAAAACAGAGTAAATCTTCCTATGCTTAAAGTAACCTGCCATTCCCATCCCCAGACCTTAGCACAGGGAAAGTATGTCCACCACACTGGCTCAGCCGGGATTCAGGATTTAAATGCCAGGAAGTGCACAGATAAAACAACTATTCAGAGAGAAATGATTTGTTGTTGTCTTTGTTGTTGTTTGTTGTTGTTATAACAATCCTCACATTCGTGTGTTTCTCCTTATTGAAGCTGTTCAGTTTTTCTTATTTCTTTTACTCCTCCTCACCAAGAGTATTGTTTGATGAGGTCTGGCAAGGTGAGAAAGGAATCCATGAACAAAAGGATCACCAGCTGGAGAGGTGACAGTGTGTTTCAGCAACTGACACCACCTGCTTTGGGGAGCATGGTCAGAAACCTGGGTCTTGGTGTTGGTTTTAATATAAAGTTACTGTGTCAGTCTGATTACATCACGTTGTCTTTCAGGGTCTTGGCTTCCTCACCTGTGTGTTAAGAGAGGAATTTTAAGAGTGCTTCATTGGTCTTGCATTTCTATTCCCAAGTTGGATACGAGCCTATTTAAAACATGCTATTGTCCAAGCTTTACTTGTTGAGGACTTTTAACAGTCACTGAGATTTCAAGGCAGGTGCTCACCTGAACTAGATCACCTCGCCAGATCACCAGGAAAACCATAGAGTTGGAGAGCTTTGGGACTGAAGTAGTTTCCAGGATGGAATAGCCATCCCCTATTGGTAACTAACTTAGACTGGATGACTACTGGAGCTTCCCCTGTGTCCCCCAACATCCTATGTTGCATAGAAATATATTATAAAAGCAAGAATATCAGGTGCCACAAATATTTCACCTAAATCAAATCCAGTCCAGAGGGTGGGCTGACCTCTCACTGGTCACTCATCACAGGAGACCTTCCCAGGATTGGCTTTGTGACTCACTGGGCTGAGCTGACCTGAGACAGAGAAGCTGGCTTAGGAACGTGACTTCCTCAGACACAGCTTATCCATTTCTACCTCGTGTCTTGACCAATCAGCCCTTACCTGACCAGGGAGATGTCAAAAATAAAATGAGTCTTCCCTCTTAACAGTGTCCTGAAGCATTCCCAAGTACAGGGCCTGGCAGGGAACTGAACTTTGAGGAAACTGTCTGACCCCTTCATCTACAGTCTCACCTTCACTGTCTTGTTTTCAGTCACCAGGTTCCCCTCTCCTTTCTAGACCCACATCTTTGCTTATGTTCCTCCTCCACTTTTCAACCCGTTTCCTGAATTTAATAAATACAGCTTCATCCTCACTATCTCCCTCTCCACAAATCTGCCTCTGTCATTCATTCTGCACGTGCCACCAGGCTCGCCCAGCCTCATTAAAAGAAGGATAAAGAAAAGCTTTCAGTACAAAGTCTACCCTCTGCCCATGCTGCCTCTCCTCTATTTCTCATCACAGGCCCTCTTTTGAAAGAGCAGCCTGTGTTCACTGCCCCCACTGTCCTTTTCTTTCATCCACTCCTCAGCCTGTGCCATTTGCTATTTGGCTACAAATTCTTCAACTCTATTAAATTATTCTGTCAAAGGTCCAATCAATACTATGATTGGCAGATTTAATGATTTCTACAGGGAGGATGAAAACAAATGATAAATGTAACAGGCTTCCATCAGTGCCTGGCATACAATTAAGTCCTCAATAAATGTTAACTACAGTGGTAATAATTGTAATGAGGATGGCAATAATAGAACTCCTGCCAGTATAAATTCTACTCATTTTCAAGTCAGTTTATTTCTAGAAACTTTGCTAACCACCCAGACCACAGAGACCTTACTCATCTACGTGAGAACAGGACCTCTTTTTGCAAATGTTAGTGGTTTACCCAAATCACCAGTATTCACTTCTGCTTATCCCACAGCAATAGCTTCAGTTTTTTGTTTGAGGACCTTTTCTCTCCCCCTCCAAGTTCACGGCTGAGGTAAGCATTTCCAGTTGGAAGGGTGGAGCCCATGACTCAGGCAAAGTCACTTTGAACATCACATGCTCTTAACTACCATGATAATTCCAATAATGGTTATATGATCCACGTCAGACTAAATCTCAAGACTTTGTGGGATTTAGCAAGGAAACACTCAGCTCCTCCTTTCTTCACAGAATCCAAAAAAATATGAAGCTAGGGCCTTCTTACCACCTAGATCTGGGGCTGAGGGATGAAACT